ACTTCAGAATTGAACCAGCCAGAGGACCCGGACTTTCTGAGCATAACCGACGGTGGCCTTTGACCAGATACACGCAAAATCGGCTTACACACCACTTTCATGTCTCACGTACGTTTCACGTGTACATACGTGAAATTTGACGTAACTCCGCAGCCAGGGGAGGTGGAGTATGAAATTTTCCGGACATTATTCAGGGCCGTGTTTGAGCAGCCGCGGACGAAGAAAGCATTCACGTTGTCACTCACGTACGAACACGTGAAACTTGACGCAACTCTGCAACCAGAGCAGCTAGGGTGCTGAAACTTTCTGAGCCCTACCCAGCTCGTGTTTGACCAACCGCGGGCGAAGAAAGCATTCACGTTGCCACTACGCAAGAGCACGTGAAACTTGACGTAACTCCGCAACCGAAGCATCCGGAGCGCTGAGTTTTTTGGGCATGGATTGGGAGTCATTGTAATAGTTTTTGATAGTCGTGGTGGCCAGTCACAATTCTTTTAGCTAGAAGCTTCTGCCGGGGAGAGCGTACCACTGGCGAAAAAAACCTGCAAGGGAACTGTGCGAAAAATGCATCCTCGTACCAGCAGCCGGTACGCTTTCGACTAAGTTTAGGTTCGTGAAGATATGGGCAACGTAAATGGAGCACGAGCAGTTTTGAAATGGGGACTTGAAAATTTCGCCGAACCCGTGAATTTGTTGAACGAAGCAGCAGATGAGCTGGAAATTAGACAGGTGCGTGCGATGGCCAATCACAGCAACGATGACCTCGGTAACAATGTTATGGAAGGTGATCTACAACGACTGGCACTTGGCCAACTTACCGGTAACATGCAAATCTGCTTCCGTGATTTCTCATAGTTTAATTCAGCGCCATTATCCATACTCCAGAACGATCACACTGTGGACCCCCCGATGTTATTGTGATTCATCCGCCAAGTGCAAATCGCCTTACTCGCTGCTAGCAACAGCAGTTATTATGCGTTTTGTGCTGTGTAACAGCTGCACAAAACGCATATTTTCACGGGATTGTCTGTGTGTGCGTTCGCATCAACTTGTCCGCAACTTTCAATTCGGGAACCGCAAAAGCTAGGAAGCTGGAAATTTAGCGTAGTGTTTCACACCCGCGTATAACCCCGCAAATTTAAATTCAGCCTTCCCGTATCGGCGGATAACACGTACTGCCCTATAAAAGTCTTGGCGGGGAAGATTGTCTCGGGAACCACGAAAGCCAGGAAGCTGAAATTTTATGGATATGTCCCTTGCCCACGTGCGACCCAGAAAATTTAAATTCAGCCTTCCCCTGTTCGCGGGTAACATATACGGCCCAGTGAAACTTTTGACTGGTAAATTATTATCTTGAGAATCGCGGAATCTAGGAAGTTAAAATTTTAGGGGACTGTTCGCTGCTGACGTGCAACCTCTCAAATTTAAATTCAGAGCAGTGAAAATCATTAGCAAGTGATCCTTCGGTGAACGAAATTGCACAAAACGCATGGTCGCATGGGCTGATGTAGTGCGCGCTGCTATTTATTTTTACTGTAATGACATTCGCAACATATCAATCGCATGTTCAAATTATTTTCTGTCTTACAGATGTAACCCGTTGACCTTGAGGTTATTATTAAACAGTTGAGTTGCCCAGCGGATTTTATTTTAGTCGTTATAACTGCATCGTGCACACTGTTCATTTATCTTGATGTTTCTTCGGCATACTCGCCAGGAGGTGTTTTAGATTTGTTGCGCTCCATCGCTTTCACCTTTTCAGCTAGTATTTTTGCGTTTATTCTGAACAGTAGCCACATTTCGCACCCATATGTCATTAGTGATATCAGAGGAGCAGGCGTGGGCTTTCTCATTTGATATCCGTCTGGGATACTGGTGGCACTGTTTAATATATGCCAACCTGTAGGCCGTGAAATCCAGTCTTTGGCTACGGACTATGGGATATGTTCACTTTTTGTTACTTTTTTTTTTTCTATAGATCATCTCTCCAATTCATTTTACGGGATACTCTATCCTGAAGAGGGCCATGAAAATCATGGGTGATGAAAGATGTGCCTATCGCATCCCCGCTGAACTGGTAAGCAGTGTTGTTGTGTCAGTGACGCAGACAGTGTTTCCGTCAATACCGCCACAGCCCTCATATTCAGTGAAGTGCGGTCGAATCTTATAAAAATGGCACAGTGGGAAGTAGCATGTTGAAAAGCTGATGCGACAGCTATTCTTTCAGCTTTTCGTTCATTCGTTTCAATAGTAAATGCTTGAATGTGACAGCGAGTTAAATCCTCAGTCATCTTGCTTGTGCTTAAATAATCCTCGAAAAAGAGGGCCATCAACGGCCTTGCAGACGAACGGTTGCTGTTGACTTACCACCACTCGAACTCCTCGATTTCCACTTGTCATACTGAGCGAATGTGAGGGGAAGGGGGAGGGGGAGGAAGAGAGAGAGAGAGAGAGGGAGAGAGAGGTAGAGAGGTAGAAAGAGAAGAAGAGAGAGGATTTATTATTCGATCGAATTTTGTTAAATAAATCCATCATATGCTACAGGATGCTAAATTTTGGAAAATGAAGAAAATGGATGAGGAGGAAAACATATAACGTTTTTTGCTTACGGTCTTTTGCAATCTTTTCAGGCATAGGTCCTAATCAGGAAGCTCCAGTGATCAGAATTGCCTCACAAGAACCAGTTACTTTGTTTCCAAACAACCAGCCTCGTGTTACTCAAAATGCTAACAGCAACAGCGGCTTTTTAGTATATCAGGTAAGCCCAGAAGTGTAGTGCAGCTCAAAGGGCGTTTCTTTCGTAAACCCAAATAATTAGCCAACGCATGGGCTGCCCGTGCGAAGATGCGTTTTTTGCATAGTTCCCCGCAGTTTTTCTCGCTACCGGCACCGGTTTTCCCAGCAAATATTTTTAGCTAAACAAATTAAAACTGGCCGTCAGTCAGGAAACACCCCTTAAAGTTTTAGCTTTCAGGCCTTCCTGGCTTCTGATTAGCAACTTAAAAAATTTCACAGGCTCATACGTGGATACCACGCCTACACGGGAGCTGGATTTAAGCCCATTAATACCTACTTGGATGGGGAACGTCCCCTTAAAATTTCAGCTTCCTAGCTTCTCAGATCCCCGAGTTATCAACTTACCCGAAAAAAAGTTTGGCGGGCCCGTATGTGGGTACCACGCATAACCGGGAGCTGAGTTTGACAACATTAATACCTACTTGGATGGAGGACGTCTCCTTAAGATTTCAACTTTCTATCTTCTCAGATCCCTGAGTTACGAACCTACCCGAGAAAAATTTTGGCGGGCCCGTACCCATGTACACACCCGGGGTCTAGGTTTGAGCTCATTAATACCAACTTGGACGTGGAACATCCCCTTAAGATTTCAGCTTTCTAGCTCCTCAGATTCCCGAATTATGAACTTACCCGAAAAAAACTTTGACGGGCCCGTATGTGGGTACACGCGTACCCGGGGGCTGAGTTTGAGCTCATTAATACCTACTTAGATGGAGAACGTCCCCTTAAGATTTCAGCTTTCTATCTTCTCAGACCCCGAATTACGAACTTACTCGAAAAAAATTTTGGCAGACCCTCACGCGGGTACTACGCTTACCCGGGTTTGAGCTCATTTAGATTTACGTGGGCGGAAAACCTCCCCTTAAAATTTCAGCTTTCTAGCTTTTCTGGTTCACGAGTTAGCAACTTACCCGTAAAAAACTTTGGCGGGCTCTTACGTGGGTACTACGCGGTAGGACCACCCAATTTGGGGATGGGGGTCCGTACGTGCATGTGGATTAAGTCTCCAAAGTTGCAGTCCTGTAGCTCTTGTAGGTCTCGAGATGAATAAATAGCAGCGTGCACCAGACTGGCTGGTGCGATCATTCGTTTTGTGCAGTTCAACCCGTCGAACGATTGCCTATTAATGATTTCCACTGATTTGTACTTTAGTCTATGCAAAAATAGTTCAAACATTGGAAAACAGTTAAAAATTTCAC